TCTTTCCTGATCTTTTCTTAAGCAAAGAAACTGAGAAAAACCTCATATACTCCCCTCCTCACACATACACTAGCAAAAAGGGTTTAAAAATTCACTGTTGCTCTGTAGTAATAGAGCTAGGGGACGATGACACAGACCAAGGAACAACACCTGTTACAGTTTGTATGTGGATGGCCCTCAAAGCCTATGTGCTCAGAGGTAGTGTAGGCTTACTACCTGAGGCTTTGGCAGGGGACCAGGTCCTGGGGACATGATACTCATTAGAGAGTTAGCACACTGATGAGTTTATAGTGAAATGCGATACTGGGGGTGAAGTCTGGTCAGAGAAGGTGTGCCCTGGGGTGTGGCCTAGAAGGGTCTGTCTTCCTCTTTCCTCCTTCCTTGCTCTCTGCTTCCTGCCCGCCATGCCATGAGCTGTCTCTGGGTCATGCCCCTCTGCCTCACGGCCCTGCCTTAGAGCCACTCAACTATGGGATGAAACTATAAACTGTGATCCCAAATAAATCTCTTCTTTAATTTGCAGGTATTGTATCTCAGTGACAAGAAATAAAGATGAACTTCTATTTGTGTACCAGTTCACAATTTAGAAAGCCCTTTAACGGTCATTGTCTTACTGGAATTCAGTCTGCCCAGAGATTTCACCCCCTGAGAGCTATTTTCAAAGTCATGAATGTGAATATAGACCGAACACTTGGTAAATGTGTGGAGGATTCTTTGCAGTGATTGTGACTGTTCTCATGCAGGTGTGTGCTGGAGGGAGCAAATACCCTCATCCTGCTTCTAATGCATCACTAGAGACTGGGGACCCTCAGATCTTCTGAATCTAAGTCCAGGGTTCTTTCTGCAACCCTGGAAATCGAATATTAGTACAGTTACAATGCTTTAGGTTGTAATTACTGTGTGTCTATTGTGTGCAAAATGTGAAGAAATTATAAATAAAAAATGCAATAAAAGACATATAAAAAAGAGGAGGACAGGGAAGCAGCCTGGGGAGGTGGCTGCACAGGCACCAGGTGTCGGGAGGTGGCAGGTCCCCCTGTGGTCACCCACTGTCTGTGTGGGAAGTCATCCCAACACCATGGCTTCAGGCTTCAGGTTCCTCCCACACGTGCTCACACAGTCTTTCGGTGTTCTACACTCTCAGGATCTGCAATTCTTGTTCATCCTGTTTGGGTGCAAGATCTCACTTAAGATAATCATCTGCTCTGGGTAGCAGAACACCTGCGTGAGAACAGTCACAGTCACTGCAAAGAAGCCTCCACACATTGACCAGCTGTTCGATCTATATTTACATTCATGACTTTGAAAATAGCTCTTATGGGGTGAAAGAAAGCCTTCAATTTCTGCTTCACCTAGTCAGTTCAGTTGGATTCTCTCGGGGGCTGGGGAGATAGGTCAGTGGCATAAAGTCCTGCCTGGCAAGCTCAAGGTCCTGAGTTCAATTCCCAGTACCTCCCCACCAAAAGAAAAGAAAAGAAAAAGAAAGAAAGAAAGAAAGAAAAAGAAAGAAAGAAAGAAAGAAAGAAAGAAAGAAAGAAAGAAAGAAAGAAAGAAAGAGAATAGCGCAGATGATGGAGGCACAGCCAGAACAAGTTCTTCGATTCTCTCCATCTATTACAGGACTTTCCTTCTCCTCCATTGTCCATTGTCACCTCCCATTCCATGGACCATGTCTTATTTTTCTCTTGTTGCTGAGAAGGAAGGAAAGGTTTATTTAGCTCATAGTTTGTGGAGGTTTCAGCACATACCCTGCTGTCTCCAAGGCAGGGTAGAATGGCAGAGGAGCAATAGTTCATGGAGGTGGAAGACCAAAGAAGCAACAAGAGTGAAAGGGAACAAGAGGGAGAGCAAGCCCCTTTACCTCCCTTATATTGTGTGCAGGCTACCTACCCCAGGGCAGGTATAGCTCTCACATCCTTAATCCCAGCACTGAACCATGAGTCAATCAAACTCAAGAAGCCCTCCTGCATGAGGCTTTGAGGAGACATCTAGATACAAGCTGTAATGGTCATTACAACTATGATGTACACTTGCAAAGGTCATCTCATGTCAAGGGTTCTATAAAAGTCTAAGAACTGGGCTTGGTGGTGCACGTCTATCATCCCAGCACTCCAGGAGGCTGAGGCAGGAGGATCATTTCGAATTTGAGACCTGCATTATCCTTTAAGTCTAAAATGCCAAGTCTCATGTGTTTCAAGTTTGGCTCTTGTGGGGCAGAGTGGATCATGGGACACAATACTGATCAGTGGATTTATTCAAGGATATGTTCAGAGCTAAATCTGCTGTTAGTAGGTGAGGCCCAGTTGGAGGTGGTCCCTGGGTGTTTCGACTCTGGAGGGTGCAGCTCTCTCCCCAGCTTTTCCTGCTTTCTGCTTGTGACCATCATGAGGTAAATTGCTTTCCTCTGCCATTCCATTTCCAGTTTCAAGCCAGTAGGTCATGGCCTAAATCCTCTGAAACTGAGACAAAAATAAGCCCTCCCTCCATTTGGGTGTAGGTATCAGGTATTTTGTTGCAGCAATGGGAAATGTGACTAATACACTGTTTTTGCATTTATCTGTGCTAAATAAATACTGAAGAAATTCCAAATGTACAGTGTCTCTGTCACTTAAGTGGAAGCTGCCTAGGAGTGGAATAGTTTAGGGCACACTCTTTAGTGGCTTTCCACTGTGTCCTACAGCTGGGCTGCAGAACAGGGTACCTGGTTCTTCTCCAGTGGACATTGCCTATCTTGTACCTGGAGTTATTACTAAAGTCTGGTGAGTAATTTCACTTAGATTTCTTTCTGTCCTAATTAGAAGTTTTCATCAGAAGCATTAAAAAGTTAGAATAAAAAATTAATGAAACAAAAATTACCATTTGGAGCTGTAATGTTAATGCAGAAGGTCATTTGTAGTATAGTGTTTTGTACTAGCTAGGCATGGTAAGCATCTTTTGCAGGAATAGATACTTACATGGATAAAGCACTGTGGGAATAGCAACAACGTTGGAGGACATTGTCTCTGGCATAGTGCTTGGTGACTTTTTTTTTTATGCTTTCTAATTTGTAGGCATTGTTAAACCAAATGTCTATCTCTAGACATTAATGGAAAAAACTTGGAGAAATGGAATCAAGTTTGCAGTTTAGTTCTTGGTGTGGTGCTGATGTTGACTGCTAAGTCTTGGCAAATGTCCCATGGTTCTGTAAGGCAGGGTGTCACAGAGAGTGGATGAAGGGTTTTTGTCACTTTTGTGTACATAGAAAGGTCTTAAAAATAAAAGCCCAAGGCCAGGTTTTGGAGCCAGGTAACCTTTGTTCATAAGATGTTTACAACACATGGAGTGGATTCCACGGGTTGACCTGAAGCTGCAGGGACTTTGTAGGCCAGTTGCTAGCCAGAGTCAGTATCAAAAATGAGCTCTGTAAGTCTAAAATAGAATTTATACTGAAATAAGGGCAATGGTTACTTAAAACTCATCATTTCCTAGTTGTTTACTGTGATCGATCCCTGGTATCTGTAGTAATTATGGTCTCTTAAGTCTCTGGAACTTTAAGTTAGTGAGAACAACACTGGAACCAGCCAAGGGCAAGCCTCCTGGGATGTTTTGCTCAAGTTTTGGTTACATAAGTTTGCTAACATTTCTGTTTAGAGGCACATTATTTAACACATGTTACTGAGTCATTCACACTGCTGGCACTGTACCTCATGCTCAACTGAGGCCTCTAACATGGCTTCTCTCTGTAGGCTCATCATGGCCTTCGTGAACACAGGACCCCACGTGGCACTTCAGCACTGTGTGCACGACCAGTTTTCATGGCACATTCATCAACACAAAGCACCAAAGTGCAGAAAGGGAGGTAGGGGCCACAGTGTGCAAAAGGACACTTGGTTATGGTAGGAGGAGAACTAATCGAAGAAGAGTGTTGCCTCCCTTGTTCAATCTCAGCTGGGGACGTGTGTGTCGGATAGCTCAACATTTTGAATCATATTTTTTTTTTTTTTTTTTTTTTTTTAAAAAAAAAAAAAAAAAAAAAAAAAAAAAAAAAAAAAAAAAAAAAAAAAAAAAAAAAAAAAAAAAAAAAAAAAAAGCAAAGTGTTGATTTTAGATTTGTTGTTGTTGTTGTCATTATTAGTCTTATTGAGACAGGGACTTGCTATGCAGTTGAGCCTGGGCTTGAGCTCACGTTGTAGCCCAGACTGGTCTCAAACTTGCAATGATCTTTGTGCCTCAGCCTGGAGAATGCTGGGATTATAGCTGGCTATAAATTTTATAACATATAGGCAAACACACAAATCTTGGCTAGTGTGGATCTCCTGTGTATTTTACTACTCACCCACACTGCAGGGCTAGTGGAATATGGGCTAGTCCTGTGCTTCTGTGAGCTTCTCTTCTCTTCCCAACTAGTGTGCTTTGCTGTCACATTCTAAAGCAGCCACACTGAGATCACTTATGTAACATAAGTGAGTAAATGATCACAAATTGTGGCCTGGCTTATTGATTGTTTGGGAATGAATACATGATAGAGAAAATTTATTAGTGCAGATTAAATTCAAAACGGTGTAATGTCTGGAGATATTACATTTTGAGTAGTACAGAAAACTGAGGAAGAGCTAGAAATATAGCTTAGTGGCACAGCACTTGCCTGGCAAGCATGAGGTTGAGTTTGATTCCCAGTACTAAAACAACTAAAATAACTGAGGATACATTTTTCCAGGATTCAAGAACTATCTGCTTTAGCAAAGTCATTCATGACTGATGAACAAGTGATACTCTGATACTCATCTTCATTGCTCCAATTTCATTCTAATCATAATAATATTCATGTCAGAACCACACACACTCTTGTGGACTGCAATAATGGATTGGCTATGGTGACAACAAAAGTACTTTGTGAGAATTAGTTGTAAAAGGGAATATATGAGTATTATGCATTTATTAAGTTGTGTCCTACATGTTCTTTATTAGGAACATTTACAGCTTAAAGGCATTTATTTCCAGAGAGCTGAGTGTTTTAGCAGCATATAAGTACTTCAAGCTGAGTAACTCAATTACTTAACAATTTAGTTAGGTATAGAACAAGGCAGTATAGATTCCTTCCTCCTAAGATTTTTGATAATTGGATACATTGTTGATACTTTTTTTTCCAGGTGAGAATGCCACTGACCTGTCTCATCTCCTTTCCACCTTAGCTGGAAGACCAAACTAGGGGCTCATTCCACCCTGGACCCCATCTTTCCCAAAGACCTGCTCCTTAGTGGGCAGATGAGAACTTGCCACTAGGTGGCGTAAGCAAGATGCTTTTGGCCCTCCAGACACCACCATTGATTGGAAATCCGGTCACATTTTACCCTCACTATCCTCACTGGGCTAGTGAGAAGATAAATGAAATGTTTAAAGTCTGCTGTCACAGCACTCTGTCCAGAGAATTTTTGTCTGGTGATCAGTGTTGGCACCCTGAGAAAAAATGTTAACCTCAACACACTGTAGACAAGGATAACAAACTGAACTCCATCTTCAGCAGAACCAATTCTCCTTTTCCACAGGCCCTGCCTTCTTGGGCACACGGTGCTGTGTGAGCCCTGCTGGCTGCTTGGTACTATCCATGGTCAGCGTCAGGTCCTCCCCAACCTCACCTCAAGAGGAAGAGTCGGAAAAGTAGCGCTCCTGCCCTTCTTGCCAGATGGCCCAGTCAGTGCTAACAGGTAACATCTGCCTGCCTTCCATGGGCAGCAAGCGTCATTAAACAGCACTCTGAGATGATTCCTTTGGCAAAGCTGCCAAGTGCTGGGACCAGGGAGAGCAGGGGGTCTTCCAGTGCCCCTCCTCTTGCTCCCATGCCTAGGACCTGGCCTTGTGTATTCCTGGAAAGGTAACTTCTTAGGGGGGTGGAGTGTGGGTGTGGCCAGTGACTTTGTAGCAACATCTGCAAGGCTTCACCTGCCACCCTTTGGCGGGGACATTCATTCCAGAAGCGGCTGTGCTCCTCCATCTCAGCCACTCCTGTCTGTTTAGTTGTGTGGCTGCAGAGAGGCTGCATTCCTGTCTCCATCCCTGAGCATCATCAATGGAGATGTAAAATAATAGAAATCAGCTCCTGTGGTTTTCTGCCTGCAAGGAGTTCATAAATGATGATTCTGAAAGGAAACTGCTGACTGGCTCAGAGAATTTCTGCCTATGTTCCTACACCATCTCTGTTAAGAATTCTGATGGACAGTATTACAGATGTAGTATGATGTGGTCATTTTAATGAAATCTTCTTGAAGCTGTTCCAAGATGGACCAATACTGAGTATGAGACATCAGTTTCTTGTAAAGTGTACACACACACACACACACACACACACACACACACCCTTACCTGAAACACAACAGGTAATGTTACTTTGTATTCTTAAATGAGACTAAAGACCAGTGTTTCAGCCTTTGTGGAAATTTCTAAGTATCTTTGTGTTTGTTAAGTCCAACAGTCACACTGAAGGCTCTGGCATAACTCTTACAAACAATTCTTTGACAGATACTGGCTCAGAATGAATTAAAATGACCATAAAATTGTTTTTTCTTCTGAGTTTATTTTGAATTTTTCATTTTTGGATAACCAAGCAGCTCTTTAAGGAGAATGCGCAGAAGAGTGATTCTGGCACTTTTGGATAGTACAATAAGATTTTTTTTTTTTTTTAATAGTCACATTCAGTCCCCTTGCTCAGTCCACTCTCATGTTTGGTGAGCAAGATAAGCCCATAAGATTCCAGAGATAATACGCAATCGTATTTACAAACAGCCAGTAAAACCATAATGGCGGCTAGTGGCCAAAGGGAAGAAGGAGCGAAGGGCATCTCTAAAGTGTCCTCTAGTCTATCTTAGCTAAACAGAACCCACATTACACATGATAACTAGAGTACACTGCGTTGAAAAGAGAATGCTCAGCACAAATGGCACTTGGCAGCATGCAGTTTAAATAAAAGGGGCATCATTTATAGTTTTATATAAAATCCAGGCAGTTCAATTAAAGGGGTTAAGAAAAACTAGAACAATGAGGGACTGTCTGTTTTTACTGTAAAAAAGGCACTTGGAGTTAATGGGACCAGAATTGAAAGACTCTTAGCTGATAAAAATTTCAGTACAATTTCATTAAAAGGCTTGGATGTTAAGAGATGACACTCAGGAGTTCTGGAAGGGAGACACTAAAATAAACCACTGAGGAGACTAGGTTAAAAGGAGGGAATAACATTTTTGCAACCAAATTGCATTTTTTTTTAAAGGAAGAAAATCTCAAAAACAAGGCCTAACCAAAGCAAAACGTAAGCAAAGGAAGAGGACAAAGCAGCAGTGCATAGCTTTCCCGTGAGATAATGCCTACCTTAGGACACTAAGTGCCACCCTCACTTCTCAGGAATAATGTCATGGTGGCATTATGGAGACAAAATGGATTCAAGCAATGCAAAAAGAATTTTTTCTGTTCCCAGAATCCGAGGGAGAACTGAGGTGATCCTTGGAGCATAGAACATCACGTGCAGTTTTTTGGTGTCCCTGGCTGTGGCGGGCACATCAAGTCCCGGAACAACATTTAGAATGACTTCTTTTGGCCACTGCCCCGGGGGGCTACATGGGCCACAGTTGTCCTTCAGGCTAAGTGACGGCTTTAATTCCTTTCTGCCATCAACACTGCAGTGTCAATGCAGTCAGCATCCATTTCTGTAGCTGTCACTAGCCAACCTCCCCCACAAACAGGTAAGACAGGATATTTGGCAATTTTCTGTTCCACAGTTGGGTGGTTCTGCAATGGCTCATTTAATGTTAAATGCCATGAGGGGCCTTTCCTCCCGTCTCTGCCAGGGGCTTTTCTTGTCTTCTCCTTGGTCATCATCCTCCTCTTCCTCCTCCTCTTCCTCATGAGCAGATCTCTGATGGGGACTGGCTAATGGCTCCAGGGGTGCATCTAAGGTTCGTCTGGTGGTCTCCTCCTGCAAGCTGGGCAGCTGTCCCCCACTCCTGCGACTTGAGCTATCCAGCAGGCACCGTAGTGCACTGTCCTCGGGGGTGCACACGGCGGTCCCACACTCACTGCCACTCTGGTCCATGTCATCCAGGTACACAAGCTGCGTGTAGGCAGTGCTGTCTGGGGCTCTGGGCTCTTTCTGCTGGTGCTCCTGGCCAGCTGGGTGGCTCTGCTGGAGAGACAGAGGGTCTCCCCTTCCTTTCCGGACAGATTTTGGTTCATTCATATCCACACCAGAGTCCAAACTGGCATCATTGCTTCCGTTCCTTCCAGCTCTTTGGAGATCAATGTATGAATGTCTAACATGAGCATTCGACCTCCCGTCCAGGGAGACAAACCAGGCCCGGGGATGTGGAAGTGGTTTTCCACCCCCGAGTTCCATTAGTGCCTTTTCGGTCAGAAGCTGCACCTCGCTGTTCATTTGAGCCAAAGCTGCATCATTCAAGGATGCTGGGATGGACAGAGACTCTGACATGGAGGCGTTTTGGGGGCTCCACTCCCGAGTGCCTGCCTCCTGCAGATGCTGCTGCGAGATGGCCTGGGAAGACAGAGGCTGGCCTTGCATCTGGGCGGATGGGTGTGGGAAGATCCCTGCATGAGGGTTGGAGAGCTCGGCTTGAAGCCTCCCAATTTCCAGCTGCTGGTCTGCTGGGACAACCAGGGGTTGGCTGACATAAGAATGGTCCCCTGGGAGTTTCATGTAGTGAGCGGGAATGACCAGGGCAGGCAGCACTTTTCTGTACACACTGTCATTGACCTGGTCCACAGAGCTACAGCAGATCAACTGGCCTGGCTGTGGGAAAGATGTAGGTCTCTCAAGGTGATCAACTGATCGTGACATCATACATTCAGTTGGTCTGCGGTCCAGCAGTTGTTCTTTTTCTGGAGATGAAGGCGCAGGGTACATGTGTTCCTGAATGGTGAGTTTGCTTCCGGTGGATGCTGGCCCTTCTCGGTCCTGCTTTTCATATGAAGGCTGGGAGAACACAGTGTTGTAGCTACCCCTGTAGTCATCATTGCCTGGTGACTCGTAGCCTTCTCTTTCCATAGGTTTTCTGGCCTTCAAGGGAAAAATTTCCACGGACTTATGGTAGTCCTTCCCCAGGGTCCCACTTGGTGTCAGGTTGTCAAAGGAGGTTCGGCTTTTGTCTTCCTCCTTGTGGGACAGCAGCTCCTCTCGGGAGCTGAACTCTTGGGAGGTGCTGTAGGAGAGCTTCAGCATGGGCGTGTGCAGGTCTCCCTCTCCGCTAGGGGACATCATTTCTAAGTGGACCCCACTCATTATCTCCTTTGACCCTGGGGCTTCTGGGCGGCTGTGGCTGGCGACAGACAGTGGACCAGGGAATTCTGATGCCCGACGAGAAAACAGCAAATTGATGTGTGACATGGAAGTGGACTGGTCCCTTCTGGAACTCTCCAGGGCTGTGGGAAGCTGCAGCTTTCTGTGGTGTTGACGGGGCTTCAAGCATTTTCTCCTGTGACCAAAGACACAATGCAAAACACAGGTCAGAGGGTCTCACAGTGGGACCGTGTTTTAAAGTTTCAAGTCAGAACCTCATCCTCAATTTCTTTAAGGGAAAACAAACCAAAGCAACCACTCAGTGGGCAGAAGCCTTCCTGTCCCACACCTACATCCTTATGCCAACTCGGAGCAACCTGGAGATTTCCTCTTCAGCCTTGTAGAAGAACACCAAGTAATTCATTTGAAAGTGGTTGCCCAAGAATAAACATCCTCACTAACTGAACAGACATGACATCGAAGCAAGAATAATTCTGCTGTGATCTTGTGCGTATCACTTCTCAAACAGCAACAGGAATATTCTGAATGAATCCTCTCCAAGAGAATTCTCACATATTCATGACCCATTCGGAACACTGTCAAACACTTTTTAATAATTCCCCCACCTAAGCATGCCATACACATTCTGTTGGTTCAGATCACATTTGTGAATTCCTAAATCTTTTTTTTTTTTTTTTTAAAGAAAAAGAACCTACATTTAGAAAAAGAAAACAGAATGACCTCACATCAATGATTCCAAAGACCAAGCTGTACAAGTAAGTCGGCATTAAAAGATGGCATCCCTTTACCTGCAATAATATAAGAGGAGACACAGCAAAACCAGAAGTATGAAAGTCATTCCTCCTAAAATGGCCAAAAGAAACACCGTGTGATATGTGGTGATGTCCTGTGTCACGACTGGACCTGGAAGGTCAGAAAATGGCATGTTAGACTTTTAAAAAATACTTTTAAATAAAAAGGAGGATAATTAGTTGAGAATATACTCAGCATGATCAACAAATACCATACTTGTTTAAATTTTTAAAAATGTATTACAGTAAAAGACACACTGTCATTAATCCTTCTCAAATGCCTCCCTCCCCCCCCCTTGAACACATCCCATCATTGTTGCCACTTTCTAGAGCAGTTCTGGAAGTGCTCTTTCATGAATGTCTTTGGTTGTAGTTACGGCGTGTGTCTAGTTGTCCCCCCAAAACCTCATGCAGTCATTGCAGCAGGATTCTAGGGTTTGTGATTAATTTACAATCCAATGCTGGGATTTTGGGTGTGAATGCTGCACCTGCCCAGGGCAGACAGCCTGAATACAATATAAGAAAGGGAGAGAGGCTTGCCAGCTGCCTCAACCCCTACCCTTCCCTTTGCTCTTTGCTGTTTTCTACCTCCATGAACTGCTGCCCTCTGCCATGTGCCGCTCTTCCTAGGAGCCAGTGGAGCATGGACTGAAACCTCCACTAACTGTGAGCTACATAAATCTTTCTTTCCTTAATTTTGGCTGGTGGGTATTTTGTCCCTGCAACCAGAGAAAAGTAACTGAGACAGTTGTGTTGCTATGCTGCTTTGATGTTATAAATTGATCCAAAATGTTTACATTTTGTATTCATTTTGGCTTTGGGGAAGTCCCATGGTGCTAGATCCTGTGAATACAGTGGAGGATGCTCTGTACTGTTTCTGCAAGCCTGGATTGCCACTGGTTAGCTCTCAGCAGTAGCAGCTTTCACTATCCTTTTGATCACATCTCATAAAGACACTTATGAAAGAGGACTTCCAGAACTGGTTCAGAAAGGAGCAGGAATGCAGTAAGGGAGGAGGGGTATTTTAGGGGAGGATCAACAGCTATGCTTCTTTTACTGCAATAAGTTTTGAAAAATTTAACCATTCACTGTATATCCTGATCTCTCCTTATGATATCTTTCTATTACTTTTCTTGACTGGGGCACAAAGCAGTGGTTGGATGAACATACCCTTTGGATAATCATCTCATTCTGTGATTAGCACTTATGGAGGCTCTCATGGCCAGTAGCACTTTGAGGACTGAAAGGTGGTTGTCCAGGGCCTTCCTAAGCTGAGGTAAGAGCCTTGCTGGGAGGTGTGCTCAGCAGTCTAACCACATACTCTTTTAATGAAATAAAATGAATGCAGGATAGCATAAAGAATGGACTCTCACGGTCAAAAAATAGCCTGCACATGCAATAATTTTATATGGCAGGTAGAAAGGAAAACACAATGTTATCTCCACTTTTGAGGGCTATTATTACTGTGTAGATTTTTCTTCATTTAAATGAATTAGGTTTAAGTAAGTGATATGAACTATTAAATCAAAAAGTAAGTGCCAAATATGACCCAAATGCTTTCCATTAAAAAATATAAGTATTTCTCGCTTTTTAAAAAATGTATTTGGTACAAGGTCTTGCTACACAGCTCAGACTCATAGTTAGCCTTCTGTTTTCAGCCTCTCCAGCACTGGATTACAGTGTGCGCCACCATGCCTACTCGTGGTGGCCAGTTCAGCATGCCCAGAGATGGGGCCGGTGCAGTATGTGGTGCCAGGGATCAACTCCCCCACTCCTGTGCTTGCTTAAGCTGAGATATCTCACCAGCCCTTCCAACATGTTTTTAAAAGACTAACCTAACATGGCCACAGACCCTTTTAAAAATTAGATGAGGTAAAATATTTTCTAAATTTACATTGTAAAAAATCCTAAGGGGGGGTTGTTTCATTTCTATGCTTCATATTTAAGAGTAGTACAAATCTGTCTTAATGATCCTGGTAACAGGTTGACAACAAAAATATCCTTTGCAAACTGCAATTTTTGAGCATTTATTATGGAACAAACTGGTTTCACATTATTTAAGGCAGCCTGGTTATTACTAAAAACATTAGCCTTTGCTTATTTTTTTCTCCTGTACTAGGGGTTGAACCTGAGGCCTTCACACTGAGGTGTATTCCCAGACCCCTTTTTATTTTTTATTTTGAGACAGAGTTTCACTAAGTCACTAAGTTGCCAAGGTTGGGCTCCAACTTATGATCCTACTGCCTCAGCCTTCCAGACTTCTGGGATTACAGGCACATGACAGCACATTTGGTTTTGATATTCTAAAAACAGATTTGTTTGGTAATCTTTTATTTTTTTATTTTATTTATTTTTTTCTGTATTTTAGGGAAGGGTGTACAGGGTGTTCAGGATCTCACTACTAGATCCAACTCATAGTGATCCGCCTGTTCACAGCCTCCCAAGAGCTGGGATACAGGCCTGTGCTACCATGCCCAGGCTCAACTGCCAGCTCAGCCTGCCCCAGGGGTGGGGCTGGCATGGCAGGCCCAGGGATCGAACCCTCAGCCCCTGAACCTGCTTGCAGGCACTTTAATCTGCTGAGGTATTTGGCCAGCCCTTGGTAATCTTTTAAAGAGAGCCAAATTTGATTCAAGTGCTGGTCAACCTTCTGAGATTTACCACTGTCTCAAAAAAAGTGACATTTTCAAAGTTCAACCAATAACAACATTCTCTCCCCAAACAGAATTCCCTTCAGTGGGGTGGGAGGCTAGGGTTGATGTTTATAAAGTTTAAAAAAATAACTGTAGATAAATCCTTGTTAGGAACCATAGTGAAACTTTGGTACCCAGGTTTGGCCCCTAGCATCACACATGTGTTCATACACAAGCGTGTATACATGTGCGTGTGAGCACGCGCGTGCACACACACACACACACACAGAGCAAGCAAGAAGAACTCTTGGGTACATATAAAAACTTTCCAGAGAACTGAAACTTGGTCTCTTAAGTACTAATGTAATTATTTTAACCTCTACCCATGGAAAATGGCAAAGAAATTATAGAACAAAATTCCAATTATTTTCCTGTGGGTTTTGAGTTCCTGAAAGCATAGCATTACTGTAATTTGTGTATAGTACAAGCAATGGGGGCAGGGGAGTTACCAATATAGGTGTCTGCACAGCAACTATCATCGGGCTATGATGTGTGTGCTGTTGTTCATTTGTTTCTTTGTGGTACTGGCAATTAAACCCAGGGCTCACATTTTTATTTATTTTATTTTTTATTTATTTATTTTTTTTCAGTGAAAGAAAGGACAGTTTTTATTTTTTATTTTTTAAGGACAGTTTTTTAAAGTGGGTCCTAGGCTGAAGGTTTATCTGACTGTGGTATCTAGTAGACTCAGGTTCTGTTGCTCTTTTGGTGGCCATAGTTGCTGGATAGTCAAGGGCTCACATTTTTAAATTGCATGCCCAGATATTTTGTTTTGCATTCTGAGATAAGATCTTTTTCAATTGCTGAAGTTGGCTGTGAACTTTTTTTTTTTTTTTCAAATGTATTTGGTACAGGGTCTCACTGCAGCTTGGACTCATAGTGATCCTGTTTTCAGTTTTCCCAGTGCTGGGATTACAGACGTGTGCCACCACGCCTGGACCTGGTGGCTGGTTCAGTGTGCCCAGGAGTGGGGCCAGTGTGGCATGTGGTGCTGGGATCAAACCATGGTCTCTGCACTTGCTTAAGCAGTATTTAGTCTGCTGAGCTATCTTCCTGGCTGTGTTATCCTCCTGCCTCAGCCTCTCCAGCAACTGGGATTACAGGTGTGCTCTACTGTGCCCAGCTGATCTGTATGGTTTTTATAGCTTTGGAACTCTTCTCCCTTTTCTGTTGGGAAGCTTCCAGGAACTTTTCTCTTTACCAAACATGCATTAATCTGTCTTATGATGGAAAAGTGACAGCCACAGTTTTTTTTTTTTTTTTTTTTTTTTTTTTAAGGGAAGAGATACAATAAAAACAATGATACAGAGTTTTAAAACAAGATAATAAGTTTAACAATGGTTAATATATTTCATATTGCTGTCTTCAAAGCAGTTATTCAGATTACAAGATATAGGCATGAAAGATCAATCAATAAATGCAGTGGACTAAAGTGCAGGGGCCAGGGTTTGATTCCCAGTGTGCCCTGGCGGCCCTGCCCCCAGGGCACACTGAGATGGCAAATGAGACTGGGTGTGGTACCATACGCCTGTAATCCCAGTGTTTGGGAGGCTAAAAACAGGCGGATCACTATGAGTCTGATCTGTGTAGTGAGACCCTTTAGACCCTGTACTAAATACACAACAGTTTGTCTTTGTTTTGTTTGGGGTACTAGGGTCTAACTCAGGACCTTGTGCTTGCCAGGCAGGCACTTATGCTGCTGAGCTATTGTCCAGGCCCTGTATTAAATACATATATAAAAAAATCAATCAATGAACATAAGCACAAACCATTCTTTTGAATGAAATAGAAATTAGTAATATATCTCATCTATCCTGTAATTACATAATATATATTCACCTTTCACTTTCTTCTTTTCTCCTTTCCCTCATCCCAGTTCCTTTTGACCAGTGCCTTCTCCTTTACATTATCTATTGTACATTTTGGATCTTATTTACTCTTTCAGCCTCTCATGGTAGAGAGAGAATGCTGTGTTTACACATGTAGGTCTGATGTATTTCACTTATAAGTATGGTGTCTCCTTGTATCCATTCACCTATACAAAGCTTGAGTTTATATTTCCTTATAGCCGAATGGTACTTCATTGTACAAAATACCACCCCTTTTCTATCCATTCCTTGGATGATGGACATTTGAGTTGTTTTTAGGAGTTAGCTATTACAAATTGTGCTGCTATAAACATGGGTATACTTTTTCTTCTCATGGCTGTGAAAAAAAAATATATCACTGTGGTATGATGTTCCTAATTCTGAGATACCCAGAAGGGGAATAGCTAGGTTGGATGGGATCTCTAATCCTAATATTTTGAGGAGTCTCCACATTGATTTTCACAGTGGCTGTACCAGTTTACACTCCCAATAACAGTGGAAAAGGGTTCCTTTTCACCCTGCAGCCACTCTAGCATTTGTTACTGGTTGGTTTCTTGGTGATAGCCATTATTTCTTGGGTGAGATGGAATCTCAGTGTTGCTTTAATTTGCATTTCTCCAGTGACCAATGATGTTGGACTTTTTTTTCGTGCATTTATTTTCCATTTATATTTCTTCATCTGAGAAGTGTGTGTTCATCTCAGATATTGATTTTTCAACCATGGATTTTGAAATTGGCTTTTATAGGTAAATGGATGCAACTACAGAACATACTCTTAAGTGAAAATCAGACTTGCATGTGTAAGCATCGTATTATTTCCCGCGTATGAGAACCTGAAAGAGTTAATAAAATCTGAAAGGTACAATAGATACTATGAAATGGAAAAAACTATTCGAAGGGAAGGAATAACTACGGTAAGGGAAAGGAGAAAAGAAAGAAAGAAGGTCCAAAAATATATGTGTATATACACAAGATAGCTTGGATAATTGTACTGCTGATTTCTGCTGGTCTATCGAAAGGAAGAGGAATAGTTCTGACCCCACAGGAACGTGGCTAAAGAGTGGTCTGGGCCTCATTCACTGAGATAACAAGGAATAGTTAATGCTTAAATTTGTTTTGTTTCCTTTTAATTTTTTGACCAACTATCCATGCCTATATCTGGTGATCTCAATAACTAATTTGAAGACAAAACTATGCAATACAACATTGTAGAATTCATACTATTTTGTTTAGTGAAATTCTGTATCAGTTCTTTTTTTTTTTTTTTTTTTAGTATTTTTTTGTTCTCTCTAAAATAAGTTCACATTTTTAATGTGTCAGCTTTGTGGCCTCTATTTTTGGTACCTTAGGAATTTTTTCTCCTTTTCTCCTCAGTCAGACACCTTGATGGTCAAGTTAGGGAAGTGGGGCATTTCTGTATCTCAGTCATGCTTAGACAGCCATGAGTGCAAATAAGGAAAACACTCGTGAAGTGTGAAGTTTCTTGGTGCAGGACACAGCCAAGGTGCTAGGTTGGTCATCCCATTGCTAAATACTCTGAAACTTCCACTCAGGGGCTGCTGTCAGGTTCATTTGTGACATACCTTCCACCCCGCACATTTCGGCTTCACCCAATCACCTACTCCAGTCACCAGATTTGGATGTGCACAATGTTTACACTGGTTAAAAAGATAAAGATTTGCCACCAAGGACAAGACTGCTAAAGTAGGGGATTTGGGTGATACAGATTCTAATGACAAGTACAACTATAGACATCCTCCCAAGAAGAATTCTGAGATGTGCACCTCGAAAAAACAATTCTGGAGCATTCACTGAGATAACATATATGCTTAATTCAGCTTCTGAAAAATCTGAGTCAATTCACATATCCTGAACAAAGATTATTCTTTTGGCCACAAAGGCATTAGCTTGTGTTTAAGCCTTTTGGAAATGTAAGCTGAAAGGCGCCCCCAAGGAGCTCCCAGGGATGATTTGTGGGTCTCTGTAGTATGTGCTTCCACACACATTCACAGACTCCAGGCCACAGCTGTTTTCAGAATTAGGGATGAAGTCCCAGCTGCCTCTGTAGGTCTCTAAGAATTTCCTATGGAAACTGAGCAAAACGGCCAGGAGAGAGGACTATTTCCATGCACTGTTTTCTTTCTGGACGACCACGTTCTAACCAGAGTCCCTCTCTCCAATACCTTTTTACACCATTTCGTTTTGAAACTTCTAAGCATTTCTGAATGGGATGCGCTCTACTGACGTTCCGCACTCCTAACCTAAGCCCCCAGAGCAAGTGCTCCCCCTCCTCACAGGACAGGCTTCAGTTACCTGGGATGGGAGGAGACATGGCTGCCACCCAGTAGCCCAGCTGGGGTGCGATGTAGGTCCACGTGAGCTGGCCACCCTCCTGGTGCACGAGGCCCAGACCACTCTTTAGCCACGTTCCTGTGGGGTCAGAACAGAACTTCAGTGATATGCACACTAAGTTCCTATTTAAAGCTAAGTGCTTGTAAAAGTCACCTTAAATGTCATATTTATAGCTCATTCTATTGCCCAGGTAGTCAAAAGATCATTTGGGGATTGCATATAACTTTCTGTAAAAATCCCTTGCACCTGCCCTTCAGGGAAAAAGGGAACAATCTTGGCTGTTCTCTGCCTTCCCAATCAAATTAATTTCAGCCTCTTTATCACACAACCCTCTTTTGAGACAGATAATTTCAGCAGAAACATTTGGAGACCAAAAGTAGAGTAAGAGAAGCATCATAGGGGTTACAGGAAGCAGAAAAGAGGGGGGAGAATTTAGCACTATTATCTCCACCCTTAAGCGAGCAAATTTCCTACACCTGAACACCCATGGGCTATGCCAAAATTACTTAGGAAAGTTTTTAAGACAGATAGACTCCTTGGCTCCATCTTTGCCAATTTTGACTCAGTATGGCTGGCTTAGGTCAGTATTCCTTTTTTTTTTTTTTTAGGAACCGGGGTTTGAACTCAGACCCTTGCGCTTGCCAGGGAAGCGCTTATTCTACTGTACCATCTCCCTGGCTCCTTGGGTCAGTATTCTGAAAAGTTTTAGTTCTGATGTTAGGAAGTAACAAACAAATCAGAGTCCTTTGCACCATCTGTAGCTAGTAGGTTACCTTGCATTTACCATGTACAAACACTTGCCATGCAGTGGCTAGCAGCAGTACCTGCATCTCATACACATTCTCTGTGATTCTCACATCAACCCTATGTGGTAGGGTCTAGCTTCGCCATGTGGATAAGGATATTGAAGACTGGTGAGTTTCAAAATTTTTCCATGGCCTCTCAGTACTGAAGAACAGAGAATGGGACCTACACCTCTCTTTCTCCCTTCCTCTTCCTTTCCCTCTGCCTTTCATGTGTGTGTGGACTCAGGGACTTACAGATTGGACTCAGGGCTCTTGCAGTGAGCTACATCCCCAGCCCTTATTTTATTTTTTTGTTTTATTTTGAGACGAGGTCTTGGTTTAGTCACTAAGCTGCTCAAGCTGAGCTCCATCTGGTGATCCTCCTGCCTCGGCCTCCGGGAGTGCTGGAATTATGGGCCTATATCATTGTGCCTGGCTCCAGTTAGTCCTTCTGTTAGATCATGATGTGTTCGTACATACTTTCCAGAAATCTGGTTACTTTGCTGAATTTGTAGGCAGACCCATCGAGGGAGATGAATTTACTGAAGGTCCTTGGGCTATTTCCTAATCCAAATGGCAACCCTGTTCACCTGCAGAGCACCTTAAAGAGGCTTGCAATGAGCAGAAGGCAAAGAGGAGGTGGCCGAGCCCTCCCCCAGCTCACACGTACCCACTTTGACCCACTAGCATGGAGACATGAAGTTGTAGTCAGGGTTTACGGGATAATAGATTTAATACAAGACACATAACTTATAGGATTATTTTATAATAGTCACCCAAAAAGTCAAATGCTGAAGAGTGCAGATCTTCCCACATACTAGAGACCCAAAGAATCTAGCTGAGGGTCTGAATCTCATAGCAGTGTCCTGAACGAGTCCAGCTAAAGACCTAGAAATCATAGCAATGTCCTGCACAAGCCCAACTGGAGGCCTACAGCCCATGACAATGTCACATGCCAGTCTGTACCAAGGAGCAGCACTCGGAAGGCCCAAAGGTCAGTGGTGGAAGCTGGAAAGTCTGTGCCACTTGGATGAAGTGTCTTTACCAGCAGTCTGAGGGATCTGCACCGGAGCCAGGAAGCGATGCTCAAGACCAGAGCTTTCTCAAAGAGAACTGCAGCCAACCTCAGTGACTGCTAGGATCTGAGCTCTTCTGCAGATGGTGAGAATGGCTGGGTTTGTATCAGGAAAGCCAGCACGACAAGCGTCACCAGGAGAATCACCAGCACCTCATCTTCCCCTCCAGGTCTGCTTTTATGCTGGAGGCAGCAATCCCCAAGTGGGCGTTCCACACGCAGAACCATTCGGATTCAATTTTGGGAGGTGCTACAAGTTGACCATTTGTTAATCTGCCACATGTGGCTGCATAGGCATGGCCCCTACACAGCCCCCCTCACTCCTACAATCATGCGCTACTGAGGTCGCCTGCTGTGTGTCACCCGGTGGTACTGCAGGCCCCAACAGTCTGAGTGCAGTGCATCTTCTTTCCTCAAGAGTCTAAATCCCTGTCTCCCCAGGTGCTCACATCGCTGAGGCAATGGTGGGTATTTTTTCTCCCTGAAGAAACAATGCCTGGGCTGCTTCTAGGCCATAACAACATTATGTTGCCATAGCAACATTAAGATGCAGTGGGTGGAAAGGTGCCTCCAATCTCACAGCCCCCTCTGCTCAGCTGGCAGCTACACAAAGAGGGAAGGTGGGAGTAGCCCTACAGGAAGCGCTTTGCATTTCCCAGCCTTCCCCTGTGGGCACCGTTCAAATCAGAGCAGAATATAAACTGAAAGTTTTCCAAGATAATGAGAACACACTTGCCCAATTCAGATTTATTTTCTGAAATGTGTCAACCTATGGAACGTTCAGCAGCTCAAAAATTCACTTCTTACATCGGCCTCCTAAGACTGTGAAACTCACCAGGTCAAGAAAGTTTCCCTGGAGGTAGAGAACGAATGTGTCATTTCCTCGGCTTGCCCTGACCTGTGTACTACACCCACTCCACCCTGCCTGTGTGCATCCCTAGCATCGACTTGGCAGACCTCTGGGTCATCCAGGAAGCACTGCACATTGATTGGCTTGCACTGGTCCCCAGAATAGACTCCAGTCATTTTTCCAAGTTACATTTGGTGTAAACCAGGCAGGGAGGTGGACAGACCAACCTGCACCTCCCATCCCCCCAGTCCCTGGGTTTCTCTTGGAAGACAGATGGGTAGAAGTGGTGGTGGTGATGGAAGCCAGAAAGGCCATCAACTAAAGATGACACAGCTGCTTTGGGAGTGCTCTGAGGGCACAGTGCTCCCTGGGGCAGCGGACAAGTGTCAGGCAGGATTTAGCTTTGAAGACTCAACAGAGCTTGGCAGCAGGGGAAGGGCAGGGTAGAACTAGGAGGCGACCAGGAGAAGGAAGAGGGCATTCTGAGAATGAGAACAGCAGATGTGAAGGCAGAAACAGTGGGCAGGATGGCCCAGGATGGGGAGGGAGGAAACAGTTGCATGCTGGGAAGGGGTTTAGCATCCACCTGAGTAGGGCTTCAAATGCCACTTGCCACAGGAGGCCATTTGGAACCTGCAAAGGCCCAACATGGTGGATTTCCACCACCTGCCACTTGTCACCTACCACACCCCTCCCGAGTTCTTGCCAGGCCAATACATGTGGCTCTAACCTCATGTAGTCTGTCTCTTTTCTAAAAGTCTGCCCATTGCTCAAGATCCAAATTAAGCCATGAGCTGTTTCAAAGACCTTCAATTTCATCTAGATCTTCCACATCTGGCATTCCTAGAGCACACGTTACCATATCTCAATTTTGCAAAAGCACATGTGGCTCTAGGTCTTAACTCCTCTATTACATTGCAAGTTCTGAGAGGGTGGCCTGTGCCTCCGTTCCTCTTTGTCTTCTTGGCTCCTAGAAATATCCACAGGGTAGGCACTCAACAGTACTTCATACTGAGTGACAGCTAGAGGCACAATCCAAAAAATAATATCAGGTAAGCAATGGGGATGCTCTTCTTCCAAACTCAAGGGAACAAAACCAGCTGGGGGCAGAGTCGCTTACTTTGGCATACATTTTCCGTAAAATGCACACAGCTAGTCATGACAGTGTTGACACTGTTTCAGGAATCAACAGTCATGCTGTTACTGGCAAAAGCACTTTCCAAGTGCTCTGTATTTTGTGGGAGGAAACGAGATACAGAGAATATAGGAATTAATGAATTGTGCTGCACAAACCTGTGCTTCCTGTTAGTGGCACCCTGAGGCTGCCAGAGGATGAGGGGTGCTTCCCCACTTGGGCAATGGATACCTGGAAAAACAGATTTGCACTCTGGCCTGGGAAATGAGGCTGGGCTTCTTTTCAGATAACCATACTGGCAGAGCAAACAAGTCTCTTGAAGTCTCTTCGAGGGCTCTGTGCTCTCTGGGAACTGTGACCAGGATGCTAACAGGGGATGGTATTTGCATGTGTGGGGGTGGCAGGCACTGCTCAAGGCAACTCCACAGGGCCCACTGCTGCTTCTGCGTTACACACCACCCCAAGTGGCAGGGGCACAGCCTCTGCTGTTCCCGTCAGCCCACCTGCCGCAGCGTGTGGCAGCCTCTGGATTCTTGGATGTTCCTGGCAGTGCATCTGCCCACGGGGCCATGCTGCGCAGCTTCCCACCCCATGGTCCACGCGCAGAGCAGCCTCTCATGTCACGCCGGTGTCCAGCAGTGCCGCTTGCTCGGGCTTACTTCCTCTGGGCTTCTTTCTCTGCCTACCCTCACCTGCTCCTTCCTAGCTGCTTCCTGCAGGGCTTCCCAGGACTCCGCGGCACTCAGGGTGGAGTTTCCATTTGGCTGGTTTGGGGCTCACACTGGGCATAGGTAGAGCACACTTTTGTGGGTTACTGTGGAGGTCTGACCTTGGGTCTGTGTCTAGCCCCTGGCTCGTCCACTCTGACATTGCTCTCCTGCTCTGATTCATGGTGTCCTGAACTAAAGGCTTTTTTCTCCTTTACCTTTCTGACATGATGTTTCTTGCCCATGAGCAGGTGACAAAGACTGAAATTGTGAGCAAATTAAACCCTTGCTCTTTTAAGTTCTGGATGCTAGGTATTGGGTCTCTGTGAGAAGAAAGCTGACCGGTACAGCTCAGTTCTGCCGCCTGTGTCCTCAGCAGCAGACAGCTGTGGGGTTATAAGACCCTGCACTTCCGAGTGGTCCACAGCCCTGCGCAGGGTGCCATGCCTCAACCCCCAAGGGGCCCACAGCTGCAGCTGCACCCACAGGGCTATGCACAGGTGTCTTAGAAGTCAGCTGGTGACAT